AAAAGTCAATGGATATTAATTGAGAGATTTTATTTCAAAAGAATACATATTCCCTTAATCAAGGGACCGATTTTTAACAGTGTAGAACAATCGTTTGTGTTAAGGAGAGTGTAAAGCTTAATTATGAGAGCAAAATGTTTTAAGCTTTTAAGATCAGTGTTTGACAAACGTTGTTTCTAGTTGCAACTATAGTGTGGATCATAGATTTGACTATATTCTGTTTTACAATCCGATCTATAGTCTAGTCTATGGTATAGTCTAGACTACAAAACTATACTACATAGTTTTGTCTATAGCTTGATATATAGTATTGACTATAGTGTAGTTTATAGTCTAGTCTATAGTCTAGTCTATAGTCTAGCCTATAGTCTAGTCTATAGTCTAGTCTATAGTCTAGTCTATAGTCTAGTCTATAGTCTAGTCTATAGTCTAGTCTATAGTCTAGTCTATAGTCTAGTCTATAGTCTAGTCTATAGTCTAGTCTATAGTCTAGCCTATAGTCTAGTCTATAGTCTAGTCTATTCTACAATCCGATCTATAACTGGAGTCTTAATTATAGTAGTCTAGTCTATAGTCTACTCTATTGTCTAGTCTACAGTCTAGTCTATTCTACAATCCGATCTATAACTGGAGTCTTAATTATAGTAGTCTAGTTTATAGTCTACTCTATAGTCTAGTCTACAGTCTAGTCTATAGTCCAGTATATAGTCTAGTCTATAGTCTAGTCTATAGTCTAGTCTATAGTCTAGTCTATAGTCTATATAGTATATAGTATTTCTTATAGTCTTGAGTAGATTCTAGTCTATATTATTGACCATAGTCCCGTTTAAATTCTAGCCTACATTCCTCAACTACTAGCCTTGTAATCACTTCCTTTCAATATGCCTCCATATTTAATTTATTTAACACTTATTCCTTATGGAAATTACAAATAGAAAATAAAAATCCAAGAAAATTACTTCATGGACACAGTAATAAACATAAATCCAATTGATTTACATACACATAGACAAAATTACAAGTCTCTGCAGAGAAGATTAAATGACACCACCAACAGGATTTCATTAAAGGCTATAAAAAGGAAACCAGAAAATTTTTACTAGGAAACAGTAAAAGAAAGTAAAGAAAATTCAAAATACAGAAAAAAGTATAGTAAAATACTTATAGTATAGTAGAAGAAATGCATAAACTGTATACAGCTGATACTATAAATGAACTTTGACATTTACAAAAAAAAATGTCTCCCGTATAGACACCGGGACTGGAAAAGGGATCAACATAATTGAGCAGATAAACTATTAAAGAGTCGACTATAAAATTTTGTTAAAACTTTTTTAAAACAAATTAGTTACTTTAAAAAATTTTAGCAAATCATGTATTTTATTTAAAATAATTTCTTTAAATTTCCACATTTTAGTATTAAGAAAAATTTTCTCCTCCTGCCAAGTAAAATTTTTCTTTTTTCCAAACAGGACCTGCGCTTTAGAATTGTTTCTATCAATATACATTCTCTTATATAAACTCGTATGACACATACAGCTCTAAAAGTATGTGTACATTCGTTCTTCCATTTTATGCTTTTTGAAATTCCCCTTGAAAAAGTTACGTCATATCTGACACAACAACGCCCCCTTTTTTGTACTATTACTCTCAAGTCCTTGTGTTATATGAGGCTGTGGGGTATAACACTTATAAATTTAATTTATTTATAAGTTATAAAAATATGTTATGTATGTGTTTTTTTTCTTCTATCTTAAATTAGCACATCAATCTTTTATTATTTATTTACCCTCATCAAGGAAAAAATTAGATGAAAAATAAGAGGAAGCTAAAAATAAATTAGCATACTTCAGGCAAATGTCCTTTAATGTTTAAAAATATTCTACACTAGATGTTATTGTACAAGAGAAAAATAGGCTTGAGTGTTATACAAATAAATATTTTTAAGGTTAGAATTTATTAATAAAAATAACAACAAAAATCCTTAAAAGGTTTTTCAAATCCAAAACATGGAATGTTGCTTAACACAGCACAAACGAAAATCGAAGACAATTTCCGGTTCCAAATGACCTTTCAATCAGTTTTAATTACTGCTGTCTGTATGTGTGTATCTCTTTGCTTATTAATAGTGTTTTTGTTAGTACCATGAGAGCCAGTGTGAGAGTAAAGGTAAAAAGTCGAAAGGTAAACATGACATAACATGAGAAATAGTTAAACAGAGTTGTTTAATTTGTTGGTGGGAAAGGGAATCGTACTTATAGACGACCTTTAATATGGCCCTAGTATAGTCTTTAATTGTGACTGTAATCTGTAGTCAGGAGTATAGTCCAGACCTGACAATAGACTAAACCATATACTAGACTATCGACTAGACTATAGAGTATATATACTAGATATCGACTAGTCTATAGACTAAACTATAGACTAGACTATAGACTAGACTATAGACTAGACTATAGACTAGACTATAGACTAGACTATAGACTAGACTATAGACTAGACTATAGACTAGACTATAGACTAGACTATAGACTAGACTATAGACCTAGGACTATAGACTAGACATAGACTAGACTATAGGACTAGACTATAGACTAGACTATAGACTAGACTATAGACTAGACTATAGACTAGGACTATAGACTAGACTATAGACTAGACTATAGACTAGACTATAGACTAGACTATAGACTAGGACTATAGACTAGACTATAGACTAGACTATAGACTAGACTATAGACTAGACTATAGACTAGACTATAGACTAGAACTATAGACTAGACTATAGACTAGACTATAGACTAGACTATAGACTAGACTATAGACTAGACTATAGACTAGACTATAGACTAGACTATAGACTAGACTATAGACTAGGACTAGACTAGACTAGACTATAGACTAGACTATAGACTAGACTATAGACTAGACTATAGACTAGACTATAGACTAGACTATAGACTAGACTATAGACTAGACTATAGACTAGACTATAGACTAGACTATAGACTAGACTATAGACTAGACTATAGACTAGACTATAGACTAGACTATAGACTAGACTATAGACTAGACTATAGACTAGACTATAGACTAGACTATAGACTAGACTATAGACTAGACTATAGACTAGACTATAGACTAGACTATAGACTAGACTATAGACTAGACTATAGACTAGACTATAGACTAGACTATAGACTAGACTATAGACTAGACTATAGACTAGACTATAGACTAGACTATAGACTAGACTATAGATAGACTATAGACTAGACTATAGACTAGACTATAGACTAGACTAGACTAGACTATAGACTAGGACTATAGACTAGACTATAGACTAGACTATAGATAGACTATAGACTAGACTATAGACTAGACTATAGACTAGACTATAGACTAGACTATAGACTAGACTATAGACTAGACTATAGACTATAGACTAGACTATAGACTAGACTATAGACTAGACTATAGACTAGACTATAGACTAGACTATAGACTAGACTATAGACTAGACTATAGACTAGACTATAGACTAGACTATAGACTAGACTATAGACTAGACTATAGACTAGACTATAGACTAGACTATAGACTAGACTATAGACTAGACTATAGACTAGACTATAGACTAGACTATAGACTAGACTATAGACTAGACTATAGACTAGACTATAGACTAGACTATAGACTAGACTATAGACTAGACTATAGACTAGACTATAGACTAGACTATAGACTAGACTATAGACTAGACTATAGACTAGACTATAGACTAGACTATAGACTAGACTATAGACTAGACTATAGACTAGACTATAGACTAGACTATAGACTAGACTATAGACTAGACTATAGACTAGACTATAGACTAGACTATAGACTAGACTATAGACTAGACTATAGACTAGACTATAGACTAGACTATAGATTACAATATAGTTTAAACTATAGATTATACTATAGATTAGACTATAGACTAGGTTATAGTCAAGACTATAGACTGGACTATAGACTGTACCACAGGCTAGACCATAGACTAGACTATACTATAGACTATAGATTAGACTACACACCAGATTATAGATTAAACTATATACAAAACTATAGACTTGACTATAGACTAGACTATTGATTAGACTATAGATTGTACTATAGATTACACTATAGACAAGGTTATAGTCTAGACTATAAACTTTACTCTAGACTGGACTAAACTAGAGATTATAATATAGACTAGATTGTACACTAGACTATAGTCTAGTCTTAAGTCCAGTCTATTGTCTTATTAATAATCTCGTCTTGATACAAGTCATTGGTTTAGTTTAAAATCAGTAGCCCTAACTGTAGTTAAGTCTAAAGTTTTAACCATACTCTACGGTATAAACATTCATAACTATAAACTTTCTTAACTATAGTCCTGACTTTAGATTCTATTCTATTGATGGCGGTTTCCTTCCTTTTGTCAGTTTTCTATTTCAAAATCGTCTCTTATATAAATCTATTAACTTAGTTGTGTCAACTATAACATCTTCTAATTAAAGGTAAACTTTTAACAAATATCAAAAAGTTTTAATTTTTTATTTGACAAGACAACAAAGAAAGTTAGTTGACAAACACTTTTAGCTATTCAAATACAAAAACAATCCCCTCTTCCTCTCTCACTCGCTTTATCACTCAAAACCTGGAATATTGAGTTAGAACTTTATTGTTTTTTAAGATTAATAAGGCTAAAGGTCAACAAAATGTTATTTACTGTAAATAAACTAATTGACTTTTCTAAAAGTCAAATATTTAAGAAAATAGGTCTATTTTATACTTTAATTTCAATATTTATTTAATGTTGATGCTTAACTTAAGTATTTTGTTAATTAAATTGTTAAATGAGCTTTTAAATATCATTAATCATTTTAACTTGTTTGTGTACTAAATAAATAAATGTCCTTTTGTTTATGAAATTAATTAGTTTTTGTTTTTCTTTCTTCTATTTACAGCAAAAATTCTGATATTTTATGTAATATTTTATGCGGCACTAACTGGATTCTTTGCTGCCATTTTTGCTGTATTTTATCAAACATTGGAAATAAATAAACCTAAATGGACATTAGGCGATGGTTTAATCGGGACAAATCCAGGTGAGTTTCATTTTTTTTTTTTTTTTTTTTTGTGAATTTGATATTTGAAGTAAATAGATTTGTAGAATAAGGTAACAGACCGAAATTTTTCCAAAAACCATCTCTATCTACACATACTTACTTAAATCCTGAACTATTATTTACCTTAACTCCAGACTATTTATTAGTCTATAGTCTGAATTATAGCCTCTTCCACAGTTTTCAATAGTTTGGACTGTAGTCTAGTCTGTAATCTGCATTTTAGTCCAGTTTTTAATACAAACTATAGTCTATAGTCTGGACTATAGTCATGTCTATAGACTATAATCTCATCCATAGTCTGAACTACAGTCTCGTATATAGTCTGGACGATCTGGACTGTAGTCTAATTTATAGTCTGGACTATCGTCTAGTTTATAGTACAATCTGTAGTCTAGTATATAGTCTGTAGTCTGGACTATATTCTGGTTACAGGTGTATATTATAATCCAGCTTATAGACTGGACTCTAGCCTATTTTGTCGTATGTACTATAATCTTGTCTCTAGTCTGGTATATAGTCTATCTACTATAGTGAAGTCTATATTCTGTACTGTTGTCGAGTCTATAGTCAGGACTATAAAATCATGTCTGTAGTCTATACAATAGTCTAGTTTATAGACTTGTCTCTAGTGTGGACTATAACCTAGTCCATAGGCTGGACTACAGTCTAGTCTAGTCTATAGTCTCGACCATAATCTAGTCTATAGTCTGAACTAAATTCCAATCTATAATCTGGTCTATAGCGAAGTCTATAGTCTAGACTAGTCTATACTTTGGACTATATTCTAGTCCATGGACTGTACCATAGTCTATTGTATAATCTAGTCCATAGTCTTAACTATAGTTATGTCTATAGCCTGAACTATAGTCTAGTCCAAAGAATGGACTATAGCATAGTCTAAAGTCTGTTCTATTGTCTACCCTATAGTCGGAACTATAGTGTGTATTATAAAGCTATCTGACCTGTAGTATTGTCTATTGTCTGACCTATTGTCTATATATTAACCTCTAGTCTTAAATATTGACCAAACTATAGCATCTCTAATTTCTTAAGCAATCATGTTGATGACTAAGCATAGTTGACGAAATGATAATTAATCAAACGGCCCGTTGTTTACTTTCCCAGTCCAATTAATATAATAATAGGTCATTAGGATATAGGACATAAAAAACATAATATGTAAATCAAAATGATAATTAAATTCTAATTGAATTTGTATTTAAATGTTTAAACATATAAATCAGTAAACACTCCCTATAGTTGCTAAGGCAGGGGGGACCCCTAAAGTTCCATGATTTGCTGCTGGCAGTCAAAGGTTTACACCCTTTTTGTTCTTTAGCGATATTCATATATAGATTTTAAAAATTCAGTTAAACACATGTGTGTGGTTTTAATGATAAACCTTTTTTAACAGTTTAACACGAAACGCTGATTGTATTAGAAACTTAATTAACTAATTGGATTTTGGTTTTTACGGACCCACCTTTTTTATTTGTTTATTTGTGTTCCTATAATATCAAACACGCTTAGGGATGAAAGAAAACTATGAAAATAAATAAAGATTTAAAACATAGTTTTTTTCTTTTTTAGCAATTTAACAAATAATTATGTTATGTTTTTTTCTCTAATTCTAGGTCTTGGTTTTCGACCAATGCCACCAGAGGTGAATGTTGAAAGTACTTTAGTTTGGTATGAATCAAATAAACCAGATAATTTCAAATATTGGGTAGAGGAAACCTCTAGTTTCTTAAAAGGTAAGTCATAACGATTTTATAAACTTAAGTTTAAATTGATTTTTTTTTATTTATAAAATGGGTTTTGGGTATTAATTTCTTTAAATTTATTTTGTTTAAATTTTACTGAATATTTTGTAAGTATAAGGTTTTTTTTTCATTTTTAAAAACCCTTAAAAACCTGGTAAAAGGGCTAGTTTTGTAAAATTTTGTTTAAAACTCCTTTAAAGCTAGTTTATTTACGAAAATTTCTTTTAAATCTTTTTAAAATTTTTCTTATAAAATTCATTGTTGTTTTTGTAATCATATGCAGCCTATGAAGATTTACCCAAAAAGAATCAAGTAAATTGTACATTTGAAAATCCTCCACCTGAAGGCAAAGTATGCGGCATTGATCGTACCCAATTTGCTCCCTGCACAGAGGAAAATCATTTTGGTTATAATTTGGCCAGACCCTGCGTATTCCTCAAGTTGAACAAGGTAAGTTAAGGTTAAATGAATAAGTTACTAGATAATCAAAACTAATTAATCTTCGTACAAAGTTGTTTAGTTTAAGTTTTGGTTTAACAAGGGTTAAAGCACTTAAATAATAGAGATTTTATATATAATTTTTCTTATTTTTTGATTTTTGTTTTTTTTTTTATTTTAGATTTACAACTGGGTTCCTCAAATCTACAACGATTCAAAGAATTTGCCTGAAGAAATGCCAAATGAGTTGAAACGACACATCACAGAAAAACACACCTTGAGACCAAATGAGGTAAGTTAACATTAACAAATTGCAGGCGAAATCTTTAAAGACCTTTTTAAGACCAACGATCAATATATAGACTAATCTATAGTATATAATCTGTACTGTAGATCGGACGATAGTCAACACTATAGATCAGTCTATAGTGTGGACTGTCCATTCCCCAAGAGCTTGAACTATAGATCAGGCTGTAGATTGGAATACAGATCAGTCTATAATATACAGATCAGTCAAAAGTCTGGACTCTCAAACAATTTACAGTTTAGACTATAGAGGTATCTGTAGATTATATATGATTATACATTCTGGATTATAGTCACAATTAAGGATCAGTTTGTAGTCTGGACTATAACTCAATTTACAGTCTTGACTATGGATCAGTCTATATTCTGAACTTTAGATGAGTTTGGACTCTCTATCAGTTTATAGACTGAACTTTAGCTTAGTCTATAGTCTGGATTATGGATTAGTATAGTATAGACTATAGATCAGTCTATAATCTGGACTATTAATCAGTCTAAAGTCTGGACTATGGCTTATCTGGATTATATATCGGAATATAGTTTGGACAACATAATCTATTGTCTGGACAATATAAGATTTTGTCTGGACAATATGGACACTTGCTTAGTCTATAGTTTGGACAATAGCTTATTCTATAGTATGGACTATAGCTTAGTCTATAATCTGGACTATAGAACAATCTATAGTCTGGACTATAAAACAATATATAGTCTGGACTATAGATCAATCTATAGTCTGGACTATAAATCAATCTATAGTCTGGACTATGGATCAATCTATAGTCTGGACTATGGATCAATTTATAGTCTGGACTATAGATCAATCTATAGTCTGGGCTATAGATCAATCTATAGTGTAGACTATAGATCAATCTATATCTAGTCTGGACTATACATCAATCTATAGTCTGGACCATAGGTCAGTCTATAGCCTGGACTATATCAGTTTATAGTGTGGACTATAGAACAGTCCATAGTCTGGACTATAGAGCAATCTATAGTCTGGACTAGTCTATAGTTTGGACTATAAAGCAGTCTATAGTCTGGGCTATTGAGTAGTCTATAGTCTATACTATTGAGCAGTCTATAATCAGGACTATTGAATAGTCTATAGTCTGGATTATAGATCTATCTATAGAGTAGACTATATAGCAGTATATAGTCAAGACTACAGATTATTCTCTGGACTATTAATCAATATAAAGTCTGAGTCAGTAATCTGAACTATAGATCAACCTTTAAGCTGTACTACAGATAAGTTTAAAGTCAATACTATAGATCTGCCTGAAATGTAATTCTATATGGACTTTAAAAAGATCTATATTCCAGACTATATATTAGTTTATAAACTGAACCATATATGTATATCCTTTGTCAAAATAACAATTGAAACTTTTCTCTCTGTTTTCTAGACTAATGTTGTTTGGATCTCTTGCGAAGGTGAAAATCCCGCTGATGTTGAAAATATCAAAGCCCGTGACTATTATCCACGTATGGGTTTCCCATCCTACTATTTCCCCTTCAAAAATATTGACGGTTATATACCACCTATTGTAGCTGTGCAATTTACCGTTGAAAGTAAGTACAAGAGAAAAAAAATATAAACAACAATATAACTAAACATGAATAGACAGGAAATAACAGGATAAAACAGGCCAAAGCAAAGCAATTAAATAGAAAAATATTGTGGTTATAAAAGCAATTAAACATTTAAAATAAATACCTTTTAATTTTGAAATCCCTAAGGCGGAACTAGGATGTATATTTAAGGCTCTCCTGCTGGGGTGTTGTGAAATGAAAGTTGCTTAGTTGTTGGTAATTAAAAAATGATTGGCCATTAAGTTGTGGTTTTATTACAAGGATTATCAAGGGAGTTGGCTAAAAATAGATAAATGAAAGTAAAAACACATATAATTAACTATAATAACTGTTATTTTAATAGTAATTTTATAAACAGAAATAAAACTGTAGTTAGTGATTGCTAAAATGACAAACCCTAAAAATAACCACTGGCAACGTAGGTTTGCCAAATGGCAAATTGAGTTTATGTAAAAAAAAAAATAGTAAATCTTCCACTCTAGTAAAACTTTTTATAAAAAGGAAAATAACTAAACTAAATACATAATTAAAAATAACCATTTCCTGTGAAAAGAACTTTCTATAAATATAAAACTTAATAATGAAGAAAGAATTGTTAAAAAAAATTTCCAACCAACAATAGTTTTCAGTTACATTGTTTAAATGTGGTTAAAAATAAGGTTAATATGTCACGTTTGTGTGTTAAATTCTCATACAAATACATTTACATATGTCAGTATGTAAGTTATTAAAAAAAAAACTATTTAACCACCCCGATTTCTAGGAAAAAACCTTTAAATTTAGCAATAAATTTTTAATACTTAAACTAAGTACTTGCTAAAAGTATTAAACTTCTTGCCGCCGTCATTGGCATTAAAATCCATTAGATTTGTAAGTTTATCTAATATAAAATAGTTTGAAACACTTAAGATTTTGATGGCATTTTCAAATCATTTCAATCTATCACTTCTTCTGCAATTAGCAGTGTTGCCAATTTATAGTTTGTTTGTTAACTCAGCAAAAGCAAATGGTTCTCTTTACTCACACTTTTGTTTACAATTGCAGAAATGTAAACAAGGCAAATTTATAAGTGGTGTAGTGTTTTAAACAGCTGATTATTTTAAGGATTATACTTACAAACTTTATACCTATAAAATTTTCCTATTCAATTCCAAAAATTCCAATGACAACATTCCGTTCTTAAGTAACCTCTCTATAATTTATTCTATTTAAAATTCATTTAATAAGATTTCACTTTTTTCCACTTATTATACGCTCTATTTGTATGCTAATTTCTTGAAAATATTAAATAAATAATTGCATGCAGAAACATGAACACTCTAAATCCCTAAATAAAACATTGAATAACAGAAAATAAATAATAATAAAACTTATATATACCAAAATCTATATAAATACATATTTCTATTTTAATTTAACAAATAAATTAGTTAAATAAACAATGTATAACATTCTCATATGTATGATTTTATGAAATGTGTATATAAAGGATATTATTTGTTGCAAAAATAAAAAGGACAAATAAACGAACATATAGCCGTTAGGTTTACTAAAAATAAACGAGATAGAGCGAATGAGAGTGTACAAATGTATACAAAAACGAATGTATCCTACATAACCCGCAGTTTTTGGAGGCAGTTCAGAACTGGAGACTTCTTACAGGACAAAGGATCGGTCTAAGTATTTATTAAAATGAGTTTGATATGAAGTATTTTTTTACAAATGGACTGTTTAATTCATTACTAGTGGTGGCTTATGTAGCTACTCTCTATATGGCTAAAAAGTATTTTCTCTAGATTTTAAGAGATGCTAAACTTTTATTTAAAACTCTTTTTCACTTCTTCTCTTTTCGAAAGAGTAAATTCTGGGGGTACTATAGATGACGTTTACCAACGACTATAGTCAAGACACACTCAAGACTACAGATTAGTCTATAGATCAGTCTATTGTCAAGACTACAGACAAGTCTATAGTCAAGAATATAGATAAGTTTAGAGTCAAGACTACAGATTAGTCTATTGCCAAGATTATAGATTAGTCTATAGTCAAGACTAAAGATCAATCTATTGTCAACACTATACATCAGTCTATAGTCAAGATTATACATCAGTCTATAGTCAAGACTACAGATTAGTCTATAGATCAGTCTATAGTCATGACTACAGATCAGTCTATAGTCAAGACTATAGATAAGTCTATAGTCAAGATTATAAAACAGTTTATAGTCAATACTGTAGATCAGTCTATAGTCAAAACTATAGATCAGTCTATAGACAAGACGATAGATCAGTCTATAGCCAAAACGATAGATAGATCAGTCTATAGCCAAAACGATAGATCAATCTATAGTCAGGACTATAGATCAGTGTATAACCAAGACGATAGATCAGTCTATAGCCAAGACGATAGATCAATCTATAGTCAAGACGATAGATCAGTCTATAGTCAAGACTATAGATCAGTCTATAGTCAAGAGTATAGGTCACTCTATAGTCAAGACTATAGATAAGTCTATAGTCAAGACTATAGATCAGTCTATAGTCAAGACTATAGGTCACTCTATAGTCAAGACTATAGATCAGTCTATAGTCAAGACTATAGATCAGTCTATAGTCAAGACTATATACCAGTCTATAGTCAAGAATATAGATCAGTCTATAGTCAAGACTATATACCAGTCTATAGTCAAGACTTTATATCAGTCTATAGTTTAGTCTATAGATCAGTCTATAGTCCATACTATAGTCAATCTAGCCTACAGTCTATAGTCTTGACTGTACATATTCTGAACTGTATATGGTCGGAACAATAGTTTTGTCTATAGTCTGATCTAAAGTTTAGTCTATACTATATAGTTTTGTGAATGTATATATCAGTTTATTGTCTGGAGTAGTAGGAGATTTAACCGTACAAAAAGGGACCCATTAACTTAGTATAAAACTGCTGGTTGTTGTATACATAAATGTAAGTAAGTGGATGTGAGTGGCAGTAGTGTAAAGAAGCAAGTAAATATAACGAACAAAAATCGATTTTCCTAGACAAAAGCTTAAGGACATAAGGACACACATACAAGGATACTTACAGGCAACACGAAAATAATATGAAATAATATTAACCATAATCTTAAGATTGAACAAATACATGCATACATATATACACAAGTAATGTTACACTAAAAATAAAAACCAGGAACTTTAACATAAAAGACAAAAAATATCTTTGAATATTAGAAAAAAAAGAAGAAAACTTCCGACCAGCAGCAAAAATGTTGGCAAAAAAAGTCAAGAAATCATGATTAATATCCTGACAGAAAAAATAAAGAAAAGAATCAACTTAGAAACACAAATTATTTGCAGCAATGAACAAGAAAAGAAATTTAAGGCCCAAGAGAGAAGTAGCAAAAAAACACACAACATCCATAATAATCTTCAAGGTTGAATTGTCCTTATACGCATACATACAAATCTACTTCCTTTGTGGCAACACCAACACAACCACAGCCACAAACTGAGTTGAATTTTAGGAAACACAAGCATTTTCTTATTATATTTCGTTTTTTTTTTCCTTTAACCACATGGAGAATTTCAAAAGAAAAACGTTTATTCAATCAACACAAATTGAATATTTTTAATCTATTTTCATGTGGGACATTATTTTTATACATTTTATGTCTTTTTTGCCTTAAAGAAGAAACCTTATTTTTCCATAAAATAACAAAAAAATACTATTAAACCAAAAAGCAACAAAAAAAGGCATTAAGGTTCTTAACTTGGTTTTCATGCTAAAAAAAACATGACACACAATATTTCTCATATAATTGCATAAAAATATTGATTGTATTGAATGTTATACATACAAATTACATAGAGATATACCTACAATACATATGTACGTATCGAGTACACTTGTATAAAAATAGTATCCACTGCCTGGATTATTGTAGCGAACAAGTATTAGGGTGGTCTAACAAAATCCCATAACAAATGACAATCTAAAGAAAATGAAATCATCATTTAAATTCCCCAGATTCCGAATTACCTCACTGGATGAACGATTAAGCTTTCATAAGAAAAACAAATTTCATATATAAACTTTCATCTTAGTTACTTACAGCCCCTCCCTAATAGCTTACAAACATACATTCTTAATACATCGCTTACCACAGTCACGAATGTGACTAGAAATTGTATTTACGAATTGAGGTTGAAACAAAGAAGAGAAAAATTAACAAAATACATATTTAGATTGATGCAAGCAAAACCTATGTTTATGCTATACTTTTTCGCGTCTTTCTAGGCAGGTAGTTCATTCGTATTGTGGTCCTTCTATAAGGATGTCATTATATTTAAATAAAAATGTAAATCAAATAAACTTGCATAATTAATTCTGTGAGTAATATTTAATGGTGAATATAATATGGTTTTCTGAGCCACGCAGATGTTACTAATTGGCTTGATTCCTACAATTACGTATAACAAAAGCTTTCAAATTAGGATTTGGCAATTATACAAATTCCAAAGCTCTTTATTAAGACATAAAAATTCTCATTTCCTAGGAGTTTCTACAATTTGCGGACTCTAAGAGGCCAGACTATAGACTAGAGCAGACTATAGAGTAAACTAAAGACTATAGACTAGACTATAGACTAGACTATAGACTAGACTATAGACTAGACTATAGACTAGACTATAGACTAGACTATAGACTAGACTATAGACTATAGACTAGACTATAGACTAGACTATAGACTAGACTATAGACTAGACTATAGACTAGACTAGACTAGACTATAGACTAGACTATAGACTAGACTATAGACTAGACTATAGACTAGACTATAGACTAGACTATAGACTAGACTATAGACTAGACTATAGACTAGACTATAGACTAGACTATAGACTAGACTATAGACTAGACTATAGACTAGACTATAGACTAGACTATAGACTAGACTATAGACTAGACTAGACTAGACTATAGACTAGACTATAGACTAGACTATAGACTAGACTATAGACTAGACTATAGACTAGACTATAGACTAGACTATAGACTAGACTATAGACTAGACTATAGACTAGACTATAGACTAGACTATAGACTAGACTATAGACTAGACTATAGACTAGACTATAGACTAGACTATAGACTAGACTATAGACTAGACTATAGACTAGACTATAGACTAGACTATAGACTAGACTATAGACTAGACTATAGACTAGACTATAGACTAGACTATAGACTAGACTATAGACTAGACTATAGACTAGACTATAGACTAGACTATAGACTAGACTATAGACTAGACTATAGACTAGACTATAGACTAGACTATAGACTAGACTATAGATTAGACTATAGACTAGACTATAGACTAGACTATAGACTAGACTATAGACTAGACTATAGACTAGACTATAGACTAGAGACTATAGACTAGACTATAGACTAGACTATAGACTAGACTATAGACTAGACTATAGACTAGACTATAGACTAGACTATAGACTAGACTATAGACGACTATAGACTAGACTATAGACTAGACTATAGACTAGACTATAGACTAGACTATAGACTAGACTATAGACTAGACTATAGACTAGACTATAGACTAGACTATAGACTAGACTATAGACTAGACTATAGACTAGACTATAGACTAGAATATAGACAAGACTATAGACAAGACTATAGACTAGACTATAGACTAGACTATAGACTAGACTATAGACTAGACTATAGACTAGACTATAGACTAGACTATAGACTAGACTATAGACTAGACTATAGACTAGACTATAGACTAGACTATAGACTAGACTATAGACTAGACTATAGACTAGACTATAGACTAGACTATAGACTAGACTATAGACTAGACTAGACTATAGACTAGACTATAGACTAGACTATAGACTAGACTATAGACTAGACTATAGACTAGACTATAGACTAGACTGTAGACTAGACTTCCTATTGTCTAGACTATATACTACACTATAGACTATACTATAGACTAGATTATAAACTACTATAGTCTAGACTATATACTACACTATAGACTAGACTAGACTAGACGATAGACTAGAATACAGACTACACTAGATTAAAGACTAGACTATTGACTTGACTAAAGGCTAAACTATAGACTAGACTATAAAATAAACTATAGACTGAACTGTAGACTGGGCTATAGACAAGACTATAGACTAGACTATAGGTTAGAGTTAATTTTCCATTCCTGATGCAAAAAATCTTTTTTAAAACTAACTTGGACTTGAAACTTTAATAAAATTTTTGTTCAAAAATAATATTTTACTAATTTTTATGAATTTGTTTTTGTACTCTTTTGCATAGCTGGTGTCTTAATTAATATTGAATGCAAAGCTTGGGCTCGTAACATCCATCATGATCGTTCAGAAAGGAGAGGATCCGTCCACTTCGAGTTGATGGTTGATTAAGATCAATCTTTAGAAGACAAAAGACAACAACAGCAGCAGCAGAAACAACAGCAGCAGCAACAAAGCAAAGAACAACAACAACAACAGCATCAAGAGCAAGAACAGCAGCCACAACAACAACAACAGCAAGACAACAACAACAGTGAACTTAAAAATACTACTACAACAACAACAGCAGCAGTAACAGCAACAAATAAGGAAAGTTTTAATTAAAATAAAATAAAAATTAGTAAGAATTAAACAGCAAATAATAAAAAAAACTTAAAACTGTAAGAAAAAAATAAAACAATTCTAAAATAACAAAAAATCGCAAGGCATTATTATTTCAATAACAAAAAAATAAATAATGCAACGAAATATTAAAAAAAAACAAATTACAGCAAAAACCAAAGATGCAAAATAAACTAAATGAAAAAATTATAAAAAAATATATATAAAAATAGTAAAAAAAAAACAGAATTAGAATAAAACATAGTTTTTGGAGACAACAACAACAACAGACAACACAATTTAATAATTTTTTTGAAAACGGTTTTTAAGGATTTTTTACAACATTTGTTGACAACATTGGCTGAATTTTTAAAACAAACACTGTTATTATAGTTTTGTAAAATTTGCTTTGAACAAATTTGTTTTATATTTAACAATTTTTAAGTTTTTGTAAAGAGAAATGAAAATTTTAGAAAAAAAGTTAATAACGAAAAATAGCACAGCGAAAAATGTTTAAACCAAAAATTTAACAACTGTGTACTTAAAAAACAAAAATTATTTAATAAAATATTTAAAAAATTGGTAAAACACAACACACTCTCTCTCTAACTCTCTCTCTCTATCTAAAGCTCTCTGTTATGAAAGTTAAAAATTTTAAGTTTTATTTTTTAAATTATGGAAAAATTCCCACTTGATTAAAAAACACATATTTTTCAAAACACATTTATTAAAAATAATAAAAACAACAATGCTGTTTAGTAAATATTTTATTGAAAAAAGAAATTTAAAAAAAAAACAATTAAAACCAGATTTATTTGTTTAAATTTGTTATAAATTTAAGCAAAAAACAAAACAGAAAATCCCATTTAAGTAAAACCAAAAAGAAAAAAAAACTAATTACTTAATAAATAAAAATTTATAAAATATTGTAGATTTTTAAATATTTAAAGCATTATTTAGGAAATTTTCAAGTAAATAATATAATAAAAAACCAAAAAAAGAAAAACAAGCTAAGGAGTCTAGAGAATAATGCTATAAAAACAAAAATAAACATAAAAAAGCAAAACTAATCCTCTTTACTTAAAACTTAAAAAAAAATATTTAAATTTAAAAAGAAAAACAAAAAAAAAACTAAAAATAAGTAAGAAAATTAAACAGAAATTTAAGTAAAGAAAAACTAAAAAAAAAAATAATAACAGAGACAAATATATACACACACACAACTTACAAAAAAACAAGAGGAAGAAATAACATTATTAAAAACAAAACCGAAAACCGTTTAATAATTTACATATAATTTAACATTTATATCATTTATGAAACACTCTGTTTGTTTACTTTTTCATTATTTTCCACACAAAATGCAACTCTGCTTAACAAACAGCTTTGTACACTCAAAAAAAAAGATTAATAAAGAAAAAACCAATAATAAATAAATGAAAGTATAAAATTACACCCACCACTACTACTACACATAACTTTAAACAAAAAAACTCTATTCAAGAATTATATATTTTTGGCATTTTTTCATCTTATTTTTTTTAACCCTTTAACTGTCACTTTATGTTTTTATTTCATTATATTATTGTTGTTACAAACTCCTACTCCTCCCGTTTCCCTCCATTAACCTTTAGTGTATTAAATGAACAAAAAAAACTTAATTAGTATAAATGATTAATTAAAAAACTGCTAAAACAAAAGTATTATTAATAAATTAAACCTAAAAAAACAATAATAACAACAATAAACCTATAAAAAAAACAAACAAAACATTGTATTTGTCATTTTTTGAAAACTGTATTTTTGAAAACAAATCAAACACACTGCTCTAAATAAGATTTTAAAGGGATTTTAAATTAAATTTTCAAAAATTCTAGAAAATATTTTCATAAAATTTGAAGTAAAAAAGTTAATTAAAACTTTTCGGAAGCAAAGATTTTTTATATAAAATAACATTTTTAAAAGTTTAATGAACAAAATTGACCTCTTTCCTAAAAAGAACCTGAAATTTTCTAGACTAGAATATTGACTAGACCACAGACTTGACTAGACTATAGACTAGACAATAGACTGAACTATAGATTATATTATAGACTTGACTATATATTCTATTATAGACTAAACTAAAGACTAGACTAAAGACTAGACTATAGACTAGACTATAGACTAAACTATAGACTAGACTATAAACTAGACTATAGACTAGACTATAGACTAGACTATTGACTAGACTATAGACTAGACTATAGACTAGACTATAAACTAGACTATTGACTAGACTATTGACTAGACTATTCACTAGACTATAGACTAGACTAGAGATTAGACTACATATAGGCTAGACTATAGACTAAACTATAGACTCGGCTATAAAACTAAACTATAGACTAAGCTATAGACTAAACTTAACTAGACTATAGACTATACTATAGACTATACTATATACTATACTAAAGACTATACTACAGAATAGACTATAGGCTAAACAATAGACTAGACTATAGACTATACTATAGACTAGACTATACACTAGACTACAGGCTATATTATAAACTAGACTATAGGTTGTATTATAGACTATACTTAACCTACTATAGACTATACTATAGACTAAACTGTAGACTAGACTATAGACTAAAATATAGACTAGACTATAAACAAGACTATAGACTAGAGATTAGACTACATATAGGCTAGACTATAGAAGAAACTATATACTACACTACAGAGTAAACTATATACTAGGCTATAGACTAGGCTATAGACTAAGCTATAGACTAAACTATAGACTACGTAATAGACTAAACTAGACTATTGACTAGACTATATATTATACCATAGACTATACTATAAACTAGGCTAATGACTAGACTATAGATTAGTTTATAGACAGGTCTATAGACTAGTCTATAGACTTGACTACAAACTAAAATATAGACTATGCTATGGACTAAACTATAGACTTGACTATAAACTAGGCTATAGATTGGACTAAGTTTATACACTTCATATATTCTATTCTAATTGAATGTCTCCAGAATCAGGAAACCGATAGTTTTTCATTTTCAGTAAACCGATAGTTTTCGAAAACAAACTGATTTGCAAGTTCATTTTTTTCTGGATTCAATACTTGCAATTTTACTTAATATTCCATTAAATAACTCGACCTAAAACTCTGTGCGGTTTAAAGGTAACTAAATACAATAGTGTGAACAAATAGAAATCCTCTAACTTCTTATAGTTTATTGAGAACAAAATTTAATAGCCAGAGTGTTTTCTGGAAACACAATGCAAACTGCTTGCAGTTGAGGAGTTTCTTAACAAAATCAAATGTCAGGTTCCTTTTTTTAACGATCCAAAACTCCGTGCAATTTAAATTTAAATAAATACAGTATCGTCGATTCAGTATTCGATTCATTATAACAAAAAGGAACCTTTTGTAGATTCGTCGATAAAACTTATAGTTTATTGAGAACAAGATTTAATAGCCGGTTTTTTCAGGATCGAATGACAGATCCCGTTTTTTAAGTAAGAAATCCTTTATTGAGCACGATTTAAGGGTTTCTAAACTAAGTTTAAGGGCTGCTGCTTTACAGATAACAGAAACTGTTCTAGAATCGAGTGCTTTTTAAATTATTTATAGTTTCTGAGTAGAAATGGACAGCTATGATGGAAAACTGCAGTTTTCTCAATTTATTAAGAACAAAAATTAATAGCGGGTTTATTTTTTTATAAACAAAAGGTCAATTTTGTAAAACTTTTACTTTTCTGAAAAATAAAATTGTCTTAACATCTTGTCCCACCAATGACAAACCTAAATTAGCAATTTTATAAAAACACGAACATTTTAAGAAATTTAACATTGACATCGGAAATAATAAAAAAGAAATTCGAAAAAAACCTAAAGGGCTCTGTAAAAGTTGTGTTGCTGTTTAAAAGAAAAAAATACTAAAAAAGCACAATTAATTTGAAAGTTTTTTTCCCCCAGAAAGATGAAAGTATTTAAACATAAAAATGGAAATATATATATATATAAAAAATGTATATTCAAATAACTGCCATTTTTTACACACAAATAAAAATGTATGTAAAAATAAATTTTTTTGAGTGTTATGCAAAATATAAAATATTAATTATATAAAAATGTAAAACAAAATAAAATTATTAAAACAAAAACACACACACATATAAATACACAAATGAACAAAGAAAAAGCCATATGGAAACTTTCAATAAATTATAAAAAAACAACAACAACAACTAAGTAGAAATATTGTTTAAACTAACACCAGCAAGGAGAGTAAAATATAATAAAACAGCAACACAGCAGCAACAAATTTTTTAATAAAGAGAAAATAACTTAATAAAAAAAGTTAATATTTCAAATATTCTTAACATTTAATAAAAAACAACAATTATATTATTTTCTTTTTGGTTACTTTTCATAAAACATAACCCCCAAAAAAAGCAGTGCTAACTGTTAGCGTAATAATAAAATATTAAGATTAATGAAAAAAAAATTAATTTTAAGCTAAAATTTAGGCTTTAAGTACTTACACACCTAATACACATAAAACTAAAACCAAAAAAACTTTTAAATACTTTTAAAACTTAAAACAAAATTTCAGAATTCCCATTTAAAAAAAATTTCTTAATTTTTAAAGTTTTTGGGTTTAAACAAACAGAGCTCTATATTATAAATAAAAAAGAAACTCCTCTTAAAAAAAAAAAAATAAATTAAAACAAAAAAACTACATTGTTCATATATACATATAAAAAATTGCCCTTTTTGTCAGTGTGAAGCATAAATATAAAAAAAAATGTTTAAATAAGCTAGTTAAAAACAAAACAAAAAGAAAAATTAATAATAAATTAATAAAAAAAATCTTGTGTAAAACCACTTTGCTAAAAAAAATCCCCCAAAAAACAATTCATTAAGCTTCAATGTAAAACTATTTTAGTTTTTAAATAAATAAAAAAAAAACTTAAATTAATAAAAAACAAAAAAAATATATATTAATAACATTTAAATTAGCAAAAAACCAACAAAAAAATCATAATTTAAATTTAAAACTTTAGTAGTAAAAAAAAGGTAAAAAAATATTTTTCTTCATTATTATTATTAAAAAAAAAAAGAAAATATTAAACAAATTTTTGTTAAGTTTCGTCTCGTTTACATACATTTTCTTTTAGTATTAAAATTAAAAAAACAAAAAAATATTGCTTTAATTTAGATTTAATATTAAAGAAAAAAAAAACCAACAAATTTAACATCATTCAGTAAAAAAAAAAAAACAAACAAAAAATCATGGTATATATAAACAAAAAACAACAAACACTGCTTTTTGTAAAATTAAGTTTAAATTTAAAACAAAACCAACAAAACAAGAAAAAAAATTAAATAATATATTTAAAAAAATAACATAAAGGTAAACAACAACAACCATTTATTAAAGTAAAAATAACAACAACAAAAAATACATAAACAATTAATGAAAACAAAAATAATAAAAATAAAAAATAATAAATGAAGTAAATCGTTTAAATAATAAACCAACAGAGAAAAAATTTTACTGAATTCAATAAAAACAAAATAAAAAAAGTAATAATGTTGATATGGAATTAAGTAATTCCAAATAAAAAACAAAAAAAAAAAAAAAAAACAAAAATTCTTGGTTTTTATTTCAAAAGGTTTTAATATAAAAACAAGTAAGATTTAAAAAAAGTACCAAAAACATTCACTCCTGATTAGTGTTTATAAAAAACCGACTATTTAAAAAACCGGTTTGTCGGTTAACCGAAAATGGGTCCTTTTTAAAAACCCGGTTTTTCGGTTAACCGCATGTGAAAAAACCGGTTAAACCGGTTAACCGAAGTAAAAACAATTATTTTAAACAATAACTTAAAATTTCATTTTTATTGAAAAAATAAAATTAATTAATAAAAAATAACAATAAGGCCTAAGTTTTACATATCAATTTGAAATAATAATAAGAACAAACTTAAAAAATTCATTATTTAAAAAAATAACAGAGTTAAAAATAATTTGTACTTTTTTTTAAAGAGAGCAAAAATATTTTTAAAAAGATATATAAGATGTTTCTTATTTTATATATGTTTCTTAAAATAGTATTTTAAAAATAGAATGCAATTTAAATGCTTTGGAGACATTCTATTTTTAATTTTTGTTTTAATAGAAGATGAAACTGAAAAAACTCTTTCACTAATTGTTGAAGTTGGGTTTATAGTAAGAAGTGAATTATAAAGTAAATTTAAATTAGTACTTCTCTTTTTAAATTTTTCTAAATAATCAAAATCATCCGTTAGATTATTATTCTTAACAGTTTGGTGTTTGAAAATGGGATTTTGAATAGATTTTAAAGTTATATTAAGTTGTTCTTCTAAACTACTTGAAGTTGAAATTTCAACACACTCAGAGTCTGATGTATTATTAAGAATGATATTATCTGGTATTGATTCAGAAAATAGCCTATTATATAATTTACCAGCCAAATCTATAGCTGCAGACTTTGTTGAATATTTTAAATATTTACATGTTTTTGGCATATATCCATTATGAAGATACAATATTAGAGTATTTAGTATTATGTTTCTTCTCTGGAAAATTCTGTCATGAAGACACGAATGAAGTGTTTTTGAAAAAATTGTGTTTGATTTGCCAACAGCACTTAGTACGAATTTTAATATTGCATCGGCTTCTAAAAGTGTCACTGAATCACTTGACAATTTATTAACTGAAATACAAAGCGGTTCCAAGTCTTTGAAAACACTTTCTAATACTTTAAACTCTGCTTCAGAAAAGGTTTCTAAATTTAAATCAAGTAAAGTATGGTTAATACAAATTTTAAGCTTTAAAAATATACCAATCATTTGAGAAAGCGAATTCCAACGGTGCTTAACGTCTAATTTTAGGTGAATTTGATGGCCCTCCTGTTCAGTCACATAACTTGAAGTTTTTGTTGTTTATCTTGAGATCTTTTAAACATTTTTACAACCTTTCTAACTTTAGAAACCGTTGTTAGAATTGACGGCAAAAGTTCAATTTGAATACTATTAATATCGACGGAATCTTCAGAATCGGAATATTCACTTTCCATATCAGACCAACTAGTGTCATGTAAATCAACTTTATTTGATTGTTTATAAAAAACTATCTACTACGCATAAATGAATGCTGTGGTTATAGCAGAGTTGACTTATCGGGGATATAGATTCCCCATATTTTTTCATAACCGCTGCTCCGTCGTGAGTGGATGCCACTACGTCAGTGTCCAAATTTATTTTAAATTCCGTAAGTTTTTCTTTAATGCACTTTTCAATATTTTCTGCAGTGCCTTTGGTTGTAATTTGTTGTAATCCTAAATTAAAAACTTCCAAGCTGTTTGAATTAGGATTGTAACCGCGGACACTAACGTTTATATATTTATAAGCGGACACATCAACCCATTCGTCGACAATAATAGAAAATTTACCACCTTCAATTAAAATTTTTTCAAAAATATTAATGTACTCAATTTTTTTTGCTCGTAAAAGGAATAAATTTGTTTCCAGGCTGTCATTTGGCTAGGCATTTCCATTTTTAAGATTTTAAATAAGATTTTAATAGTTTTGATTTACACACTGAATTAATAGAAAATCCATCCTCTGCAAACTGCTCGAGATAATATTTCATCCAGAGATAGATTACTGTTGACTTTATTAAAATATTTTTTAACTCCAGCTTGAGATGAAGATGGCTTGTCTTCCTCCACAGACATGTTTTGTTCACTAGTTTTTTTATCGTTTAAGTCTATTTGATGTTTTCGAATTAAATGACTTTTAAGCGACGAGGTGGAAGACCCCTTACAAGCAAGAATTTGTGGACAAATAGTACAATGAGCCTTCTCATTTTTCTTTTTATAATATTTCCAAACTTTCGAACTCATTTCTGTAAGCAAAAACCAAGAATATTAATTCTCAGACTATATTTAAATTTAACTATTCACTCACTTTTAAATAAATAAACATAAACGATCACTTTAGTTTTATTTTGTTTATAATTGTCTTTTTAATTAATATCTTTTAAATAAACATTCAATCTTTTTCCCTTTGATTCGACGTAAATATTTATTTGTTTCACGTAAAAAGTGTCAGAGAAACAAATAATCAAAAACAAACCATGATTTACAAGGTGTAGTTAGTAGCCTAGCTTGTAAATTTTTTTCATATGAAGATTTTATTGAAACTCATATACAAAAAACTTAACAGCTGTTATTTAGTTAATCTCGTTAAATATACTTTACGAAATAAACATAAGAAAAGCAATTCACCAGCGATATGATAACAAACGGAAAGAAGACGGTTATAAAAGTTTAAAAAAACGGACAATACAAATAGAAACAAAAATCAATTTAGCGATATTTTACATATTAAAAAACCGTTAACCGAGTGAAAAAAACCGATAACCCGGTTAACCGAAAACCAATGTTTTAAAAAAACCGGTTTGCGAAAAACCGAAAATGCAAAAAAAACCGGTTTTTCGGTTAACCGGTTAACCGGTTTATAAACACTACTCCTGATTTTATATTTCTAGGTTCGATATTGCAGAATAACCAAAAAGTACCAGTTGAAGAACAAAAAAGTACCAGAAACTTTACTCTTATAAATTTTTATTCCATCAGTGTTTTTTTTTACGTTTCTGAATAAAGAAAAAGGACCAGAACTTCCCTTTTATAGATATTCCTTTAATCAGTATGACGATATTCAAAAAATAGTATATGTCAAATAATATGCTTCAAGCTTCAAAAAGACCCTTCATATAGATTCTCATTTACTCTTATTTTCTTGTCTCTAAGTTCAATGTTATTGAAAATTCAAAAAGTGCCGGTTAAAGGAAGAAAAAAACACCAAAAATTAGTCCCTGGCACCAGAACAAGAAATAACATCACAGTTTTGAAATTATTTTTTTATTTTTCCCATCCCTGCTTAATTTCCGCCACAAAATTTATCATATGAAATTTTTTTTTTTTTTTTGTTTTGTTATTTACTCCTATTGTGTTTTTAAAAATAACGTATTTCTTTATTTAAATTTAGATATACAGCAATGAAAATTAACAATCGAATAATAATAATTTAAAACATAAACTTCAAAAAGTAAACAAAAATCATAAGTTACTACAAACGTTTAAGAATCAAATTTAAACAAGTAGTATTAAAACATAACATTTATCTCTTCCTTTAGGAATTGTCAGGTGAAAATAAAACTCTTGGTTTTGGAATCCTTTTTGATCGTCGTAGATGCTGATCACTTGGTAAATGTGAATTCTCTATATTTAACTGTTCACTGGTTTCTTCTCGTCGCGCTTGCGCTGTTTTGTAATGTGGTGTTTGCGGGTGGTTTTGATTTTGACCAGCTTGTGGTGTTTCAAATTCATCATCTGTGTCCTTTTCCTGAACAGGAGAGCGGACAACATTATCTTCATTTACTGGATCTCTTGCATTATTAGGAGAACTTGAATTTATTTCAGGATGCTGAAGATTAGGATCGGGATGTCTGGGGACTAAAACATTATCATTCATATTTTCTGGATATATAATACTCCTATAAGACCTGTTTTCCTCAGATCTTCTGTTTCCATAACTCAGGTTTCCATTTACCACATCTTTTGTACACCTTGAGTAGCACCACGAATTTGATCAATATGTCTTCGTACATACTTATTTTCATAAAGAATTTCGTAATGAATATCGCCTAAACGCCTATTTATTTTACCTGGTATCCATTTGCTTTCCTTTTGATTACCGGATAAAAAATATATATTGTCACCCACTTGAAACTCTCTAAATTGCTCATGTTGTTTCAAAAATTGTTTATTTGTTATTTTAGAAGAAACATTTTCTGGATGTACTAAATCAAGACGGGTGCGAATTTGACGGCCTAGAAAAAGTTGTGCTGGAGATACTCCAGTTGTTGAATGAGGTGCATTCTTATACTGCCTTAAAAACTCGTTGAGATTTTGTTGTAATGTTTGTTTTGATGTACACATAGCTTTTAATGCGTTTTTTACTGTTTGAACGCTACGTTCAGCTTGGCCGTTAGTAGAGGGATGATAAGGTGCAGTGTATTTATGATATCTGACTCCCACAGCCGTCAAGTATTTGTTAAACTCTTCTGATGAGAAATTTGTACCATTATCGGATACTACCATCGCTGGAACACCGTAATTTGCAAAAACTTCATCGACTAATGCAATTGTTGCCTCAGCTGTTATAAGATTTAGGTTATTTGATCACATCCAGCCATTTGCTATAGGCATCTGTCTACTAATTAAGTAACATCATACCCTCGAAAGGGCCAGCATAATCTATATGCACTCGTTCCCAAGGCCCTTTGGGATATTCCCAGTGATGATCTGTATACTTCTTAGGTTGATTTGCTACTCTTGCACAATCGTTGCAGTCTTTTGCCACTGCTTCAATATCTGCATCGATTTTTGGCCAATACATAAAGGAACGAGCAATACCTTTCATTTTTACCATCCCTAAATGAGAGCTGCGTGTAGATTTTGAAGAATGTCTTTTCGAAACTTTTGTGGAATTACAACTCTGTGTTCGAATATTAAGCAATTACCTGAGAGTCTATAATTCGATTCTGGTGCAGATAAACCATATTTGCCAACGAATGTCCTTTCTCTAATATTGCAACTATTTTCCAAGTACTGAATCTTACGGGTTTCATTGGCAATTTTTTCAGCTGTAACGGGTAACTGGTTAATTTGTCGAAAATAAAAGTATCAAACTCGTCGTATTCAGTAATTACATAATTTTCGTTGCATTGTGACTTTACTGAATTATCTGGAACAATACGTGACATGTAATCTGCATTAATATTCTCTTTGGATGGTTTATATATTATCTCGAAGTCAAAGTTACTTAAAAAATCGGCATAGTTTGCCATACGAGAAATACAAAGAACTGGAAGCGATTTACTAGGGTGCAAAATCTGAGTAAGTGGCTTGTGATCGGTTATTAATGTCCAATGCCGTGCATATAAATATTTAAAGAATTTTTGAACGGCCCATACTATGGCCAAAGCCTCTTTATCTATTTGAGAGTAACGTTGTTCTGTCACACTCATTGTTCTACTTGCGTATGCTATAGGTCGTTCTTCGCCATTAGGTAAACGGTGAGACAATACCGCGCCCAAGCCAGTTTTACTAGCATCCGTTGCCAACAATAATGGTAGTTTTGGATCATATGATATTAAAACTTGTGGAGATACTAAAATTTTCTTAATATCGTTGTAAGCAGCATCCGCGATTAAATTCCATGAAAATACCTTTGATTTTAGAATATCTCGTAATGGCCTCTCACGGGTTGCTAGATCCGGAATAAAGGCACTATAGTATGAGGCTTTACCTAGAAATAGCTGCAAGTCTTCTAAGGAGTTTGGTTTCGGTGCGTTCAATACAGATTCAATATGCTTATTTGACTTATGTATACCCTTGGCATCAATTAAATGCCCTAAAAATTCCACTGACGTTGCTGCAAAAACACACTTCGATTTGTTTAATTTAAGACCACATGTCTAATTCGGGCCAAAGTCAAATCTAAAATTTGTTGTAATTCATTAAAATCTTTTGCAAATAATAGTATATCATCGAAGAAATTAAGACAATTAGGTAATCCTTTTAAAACTTCTTCCATTTTTCGCTGCCATATTGCTGGAATATTTGCAGCCCCATAGACTGCACGAGTGGGTTGTATAAGGCCATGAGTAATAGTATTTAAGGTAAGAACATGTCCAAACTCTTCATCTATTGGCAAATGCGTATATGCGTCGGTAACATCTAGATGAGCAAACATTGTAGCACCCTTAATTCTGTTGAATAAATCTTCTGGTTTTGGAATAGGATGCTCATCGATAATCATTTGAGGGTTGACCGTAGGTTTATAGTTTCCAGTAATACGTATAGCTCCATTTTTTTTAGTTACTACATGGGTCGTGGAAGCCCATTCTGAGAATTCGACTTTTTTATAATAACCGGCAGCAATTTTAGCATCAATTTCCTTGGCATATGCTTCTCTTAAAGCTAAAGGAACTTCTCTTGGTCTAGCGAATATGGGTCTAGCATTCGGCTTCATATGAATCTTTATAGGAGGACATTTAAGCTTTCCAGCTGAACTTCCAAATACATCATCAAATTTATCTACAATTTGTTGTAGTTGATTTTTTTCAATAGAATTTAATATCGATACATCGGAAGTAATAGTGTTTAAACTAAAGCTATCGTTTGGAGAGTTATTATTTGGCGGTGTAGATGCGAATAGATCTGAAAAATTAATATCATGTGCAAAATGACTTATCCATTCACGGCCGCACAAAGTGTCTAAATCATCTTCTACAACATATAAATTCAAGACACGAGAAGTTTTTCCCAAAGTCACATTTACTACAACTCTGCCAATACAATTTATTGAGTGACCTGTATAGCTAGCAAATTTTCTGTCAGATTTATGTAAAGTGTAATAGGGTTTGATAGCACGTAAGCGTTTCTTGCTAATTATACTACAAGGAGCACCAGTATCAAGCTCCATTTCCAATTTCCTACCATCGATACTCACAAATATCATTTTCTTTTCATACGGTTTTGAAAATTTAATTTTATTTATAAAACGCAATTGCTCAACAGAATCGTTTTCTTCGTCCTGTTCCATCGTTACTTGACCAGTTTTACTTTTACATACCTTAGAAATATGCCGATCTTACCACAAGCGAAGCATTTCGCACTCTTAAATTTACAGTTGTTTCTCGTGTGATTCCCATTACACCCGTAACATTTACCTTTATTTGGAAATACAGCATCAGATTTACTATTTTATTTTTGGTTTTAACTGGAGCAAAACCTAACTTGAATGTTGTTCCGGTTGCGAAGGCTCATTGCTGGAGTTAACTTCTTTTGTTGCATGATGAGTTAGTTCTCTAGCATAAGCTATCTCGTATGCTTCACTAAAGCTCTGTGGTTGTTTTGCAATCAGTTCATCACAAATAGTTGCAGATTCTAGCCCCATTAAAAGCTGCTCAATTAGCATCCTGTCTAAAAATTGGCCGTACTCGCAGAAAACTGCTCCATTTTTCAATCGAAGACTAAATTTTGCTACTGATTCTCCCGGTTCTTGTTTCATTTGTCTAAATTTCACGCTTTCTGCATATTTATTTTTCTTTCCATCGAAATGACGAATCAGAATGTCTTTGATTTCAGCATAATTTAATTCTCCTGGCGATCTCGGACTTGTTAAATTTTTAAAGCTGTATTCAGTTGTGTGCCCATATGCACACGTGCGTAATTTGCATACTCAGTTTCTGCAACTCTCGACAACTGCAACGCCCAGTCGAACCTAGTAAAATAATCAGAAACTGATCCTCCATCTTCTTGTTTATATTCGACCATTGAAAATTGTGGTGGTTTTGAATTCAATTCTGCAGAAGATGAAGGCGACGAAAAACCCATGGATGCAGTCTGCGCCACATCTGCAACTGCAGAGCGAATTGCTCCTGCCAGTAATTCCATAACATTCGATAGTTGCTCTTGGGACATACTCATTATATCCCCTTCTGACACCAATATTGTGTTTTAAAAATAC